TATCAAAACAAAAAAATCTATTTCCCTTCGCCATCTTTTTCCATTTTCAAACATTTTTGAAAAAGCTCCAAGCAGCCACTAGGGTGGCGCTAAAGAGCAACCTGCGGCTCCAGAGCCGCGGGTTGCCGACCCCCGTTCTAAAGAGTTTACAGTTTTTTGTATGCTATACATGCTGCATGGGCTTTTTAAATTTTTTTTTTTTAAACTATAATGACCTTGACCCTACTAATAATTTTGTGGTGGATGTACTGTAAAGAGGCAATAAACTGGTCAGAGGAACATTTAAAGGTGGATTGCATTTGAAGTACACAGCCTACGGTCCAAAGCGGAGAAGACGATCAATGAAAGTAGCTTTGAAGCTGCCTATGGCTAGTATACAAATCATTGGAGTGCCACGGAATTCAATTTGTGTAAGGGCCGCATATATTTTTGCGCAGCTGGAAAGCATTGGGGAATAGCACGGGTTGGTCGTTTCCTCTCGAAGGGACCATCCTCATCCACACATGCACAATCCAACAAGCATACGAATGAATGCATCACTGTGTCAAAGACATCATGCTGACAGGGATGCAGAAGTGACCGCTAGTCAAAGCTGGTCTGCAGAGAGGACAAGAGTCCTCCTCATCGTAAAAATACGAAATACTAATACAAATATTACATTGTTTCATCAAGTTTAGGAACCTGCATTTAGCCTAAATTACACAAGTCAAAGAAAAAGTGACTCTCGGCATTTCCATGTTAGGGGCCTTCGCATGACACAGAATGTTTGGCACCCTTTTTACACCGGATCCTCTTCTTGACGCAACACACCCATTTTTATTCGGGCATGGTAATATCGACATATACAGTAGCGGAAAGATTCTTGCCACATTTTGGTGCCTGTTGAAGTGACTGATGAAATTTGGTTCCTAAATTGTAAAGGCAAGGTCTTATTGATGTCCCAATAAAGTTAGTCAAGCATTACTGGGCTGTTAAACTGACTGTCATAGGTTGGAGCACCTTGCTTGAAAGGCAATTTAAAATGACCCTCTATCGATGAAAAAGATGAAGTCAGCGTTTCTAACTATATTTAGCAACTTTCTAATCCCTCTAGGACTATTTTTTTCAAAAGCGACTCATGACCCCTGACAACCCTCACATTGACCATTACATCACATTGCAATTTATGTGAGCGGCCCAGTGGTCGACTGGTTAGCGAGTCACCTCACATTGCAGAGGTACAGGGTTTGATTCCGGCTCCGCCCTTCCTGTGTGGAGTTTGCATGTTCTCCCCGTGCCTTCGCGGGTTTTCTCCGGGTATTCCAGTTTCCTCCCACATTCCAAAAACATGCACGGCAGGCTGATTAAACACTCTAAATTGTCCCGAGGTGTGAGTGTGAGTGCGAGTGCGGATGGCTGTTCATTTGTGTGCCCTGCTGGGAACTGGTTCAGGGTTTACTGCGTGAAGACAGATAGGATAGGCTCCAGCACGCCCCACGACCCTTGTGAGGATAAAGCAGATCGGAAAATGGATGGATGTAATTTGTGTAAATTAAGGTAAATCAATCCTGACTATCTTTCACATTAAATCTTCCATCAACCATCTGCGTCTTCATTATATTTTGGGAGAAGCTTTGGATAAATTGGTAAGATCAGACAAGAGCCTGGGACTGAACAAGTGCTACCTCAACCCATCAAACACAGGGGGAAGGAATGAAGAGCACCGTATATTTGAAACAGTTCTCCTACTCTCTGTAATTATATTGTTTTCGTCAAATTAATGCAGTGGCTAGTTCTGTGAGTATGGTGACCTCACTACCAGTGTTCGATGAGTTTTTCCAATAGAGATGAACAACTGAACCAGCAGCTATTGTAGACTTGCTTTCTCACCACAGTTAAGGCTCCTTTGAATTTCCCTTTCTTAGTATGTCCTTGATCCAATTTATTTTAAAAACATTGGTCACCACCCCCCAGGCCCCCACACAAAAAATCAAATTAAACAGTAATGACACCCCAGCTACGTAGCAACAATATAACTCATTTGTAGAAGCAGAAGTATGCTCATGTTGGATTTCATGTCCACTGAGTGAGTTACTCGAATCAGAAAAGGTGAATATTACTTACCGATGTGAAGACTGTGTAGAAATGAGCTCAAGCTCTGCCTGTCTGCGCTCTTCTGGCTGACTCAATTGTGCTCGCGCGCTCCTTCTGAGGCGCGCTCGCGCCTACACTCCAAATATAAATGTTTTGTGCCCGTGTGTGTGTATCAACCACAAGGAGCAGATTACTCGAAAAAAGGAGGGGCAACTCTTTCGAGGACTCCAAATAGGGTGGGTACTGCTGTTTGGTGCATAAGCACAAACAATATTCAGGACCCGTTCCTTGGCCTGATGGTGGAAGGAGGATATCCTGTCATCCACTGGGGTGAACCCCAACATACAGGCACCAAGCCAGGGAGCAATAAGTATGCCCACACCTGCTCAGCGCCTCACACCTTGGGTAACTCCAGAGTGGAAGAGTCCCAACATCTGGTAGCAGACTGGTAGCTGTACGTGGAGGTCAGCCCAAAAATATCTAGTCAGAACTTCTCTGCCTCGCACACCAGCTTAGGCTCCTTTACTGCCACAGAGGTGACATTCAATGATCCAAGAGCTAGTTTCTTTAGCTGGGGATCAGATCTCCTTTTGCCGCCTCCCAGCTCAAAGGGCGCCTGACCCCTTTGGCCCCTCCCACAGGTGGTGAGCCCATGGAAAGGGGGACCCATGTTGCCTTTTCTGGTTGAGCCTGGCCGGGCCCCATAGGTGCAGGCGCTAGGCCAGTGAGCGCCACCTCCAGCCCTGGCTCCATGATCTTCTGGATAAATGTGAGAGCCAAGTGTCTTAATATTCTGTCCATGTCATGCAAATAGCGTCCACTAAGGTGATGTTACAAACTCAGACATTGATCAAGTTAAGGTTTTTATTGCAAAAAGAATCTAGTTCACAAGTCTAGAAGCCTTTTAATAATAGTCACATCACAGCAGGCCTGTCAACATTAATTAGTAAAGTGAACGACATAAGCGTTTATTCCAGTTACAACAGGAAAATGTCTTTGACATCAACACCACCCTCACTTCGCTCGCCTCAAGCTGCGAGATGCTTCCGTGAAGGGCAGGCAGTAGGGCATTTTGGTGGACAGACAAAAATAAAAACAGTTCAGCAATGCAAATACACTTTCCTTTCAGACAGCCAACAGAACAGGAATAATGGCAGACACACAGTATTGTGTTATTTCAGCCGGTAAAAAAAATAGCCTGGAGGAATTCCATTTATTTTCTTCTGGCATCAGCAAAATGGTGGACAGCCACCCACATCGCGTCCTACCTTAAGCTCAGACGTCCTAAAGCAGAATAAAACGTAGGGAGGTGAAAACACCACCACTGACATCAAGCATGAGTGTCAAGTCGTCACGTCACATTAGCCACGAATTAATCGTATTCCAACAATTTTTAGAGTATCACAACCTATGAATATCAAAATTTCCAGTGGAATTATCAGTCTGTTTTTTTTAAGGTTTGAGCTCAACTGTGTTTTTGGTGCAATAAATCGAACTTTACAAAAGACAAGCCACCGTTGCGGTTTTCAGTATGTACAGTCACAATAATTTAGCTCGTTGCATACAGTAAAATGTGCTTGACACCCCACAGGGGAGCAGAAGAAAGCCTCCACATATCCACATGATCTCTACAACTCCAGTGTCAACATCCTCTCCTTTTGAGTCTTTGTTGTCAAAAAAACGGAAAGTCAAATTTCTATTTACAGACAGCAGTACATAAACGTATATAAAGTCAGAAAATCAGCTTCATCAAAATGAGATTCATGAACATCACCTCTCTCTCTCTCTCACTCACACTGCCTCTGTCTCACATAGGTCCCCCGTTCCTAAATTACAGAATTACTCTGTGTCTACACACACACACACAATATCTATCTATCTATCTGTCTATCTATATATATATCTATATATATATATAGATATATATAGAGTGGTGATTATAGGTTGCATTTATTAATGACTGTGAGCGGAGTGTGCTCTGCACCCTGGCAGTGGACGAGGACGACAAAGCATTGGCAAATACAGTCATACCTCGGTTTTCGACCATAATCCGTTCCAGAAGGCTCTTCGAAAACCGATTTGTTCGAAAACCGAAACCACGCTCTATTAAAAAAAAAAAAAAAAAGTTTAGTGAACACGTCTGTGCACAATGGAACGCTACATGAGGAAGCGTCACTTCCTCGTGTAAGGAAGGCGAGAGGAGTCAAGTGATGCATTCAAGTGCGCTCAGTTTGTTCGGGAACCGAAATTCGGTCGTCATCCGAGGCATAAAAAACGAAATATTTGGTCTAAAACCGATTTGGTCGAGAACAGAGACATTCGAAAACCGAGGTTTGACTATAACTACATTCAAGTTTTACTTTTTTTATCTTAAAATGGGTTAGCTGAACCAAAAATCCGGCCTTGCATTATAACCATGACAGGTAAATGCTTTAATTCGTTGTGGAAAGCCAGCTGGTTGCCATGACTACTGTTGCTCCTTCTTCGCCATGGTCTTCTTAGTAAAATAAAACTGAGATAAAGTGGTTGCACAAGTGTGCACACCCCCTTATAAGTGGGGATGTGGCTATGTTAAAATTTAACCAATGGCAGGTTTTTTTTAAACTTATGTTGAATGGGAGTCAGCCCACAAGTTCCACCATTTTTAAGTTTCAATTTTCAAGTTTGATACAAAGGTGTGTGAAGATGTTTTATATTCACTAAACACGTGCAAGCAAGTGAATTAAAAAAAAAATGGAAGGAACCAAAAAGTTGCACTAATATTACACTTTCAGGCATTTTACTCTGAAGTCATAAATATGTTTAGCAAGAGAATATAAAATGTCAAACACTTGTATTTCATTGCGATGAACTAAATCGATCCAAATGATGTAGCTAAAAGTTCGATAACACCTCAACCACCATCACCCTCCCAGATGTATGCATTCATTAAACTATGTTTAAAAAAAACAAAAAAACAAAAATACAAAAAAAAAACCAAGCACAAGTCAGAACAATTCGGTATCAGTTTGGTCTCATTATGATTGTGTTCCTTACTGTTAAAGTTGTGAAATGTATCAAATAACCCCGTGTATATTTGGTGATTTTGGTGGGGGCTCCGACCACAGTGGTCTGTTGGAGAAGGGGTGGACAACACCAAACCGCTGCACAGTTATTTGAATTTGCATTGAATTCAATGACTGATTTCACTGGTATGATGGCTCAAAATGCACTTGCCAGTTTCTCTCACAGCTATGACAAGGCCAATCAGTACTGTATTGGTGAACCCTTTGGCTGCTTGTTTCACTCCCACTGTACTTGGTTGAAAGGCAGAGTAGTGTTGACTCAGGGCGAGCATCACTTCCAGTCAAATATCAGTGGTGCATGTGGACGACGCTTCCAATCTCCGCTGTTTATTTTGCTGTCCTCACATTTCCCATCCTCGCGACCCTCGCTCCTATTTCGGCATCCCGCCCGTTTACAGTATTCTCACTGCCTCTCTCAATTCATAAATACACTTGGGCATGGCATCGCCACCACTTTCTGCTCACCTTTTCCGGTGGTTGTTTGAGATGATACTTGATATGTTTACTATTTTGCGTGCTACTGATTGAATTAAGTGTGCTTCGAGGATTTAGTAGCGCAAGCCCTTAGTCCATTGCTCCAAGGAAGCCAAAACCAGGAGAATTGTAATGAGGTTACTTGTCATAGCTTTGATCGCTTCTTCATCCCAAAACAGCCGTTTTTGAAATCCGGCTAACTTCCCATTAAAGATGTTTACTTGTGCTGGACATTGATGTCTAACGGTTTTAGTCAAATAGAAGCTCCAGAAAGTAGACTGTGGTCCGTGTTCCCGTTTTTATACAAACCCAACCGAATCCTTGTCTTGGCTTCTGTGATTAGACACAGCCGTACTCATACCACACAGTCTGGGGATCGTTGTTGGGGTCAGGGGAAGCGGGTGTGCTTTTTGGACGTTCCGCAGAGGTGCATCTCACCCGCTCGCTGTCTTTGTGCTGGCGAAAAGGCTCACCTGGGCGCTCCTCCCCGAACACCTCTCCATGTTCCAAGGCTTCGTCCGGCTGAGCAGTGGGCACAGCCCTCACAGGGGTTACCATGGCAACCTCCCCACGATGATAGTAAGACGACGAGAGGCCGTTAGGGGACACAGGAGTCCGCCCTCTATCGCGCTCTCTCTCCACATGTCTGTCTGTCTGCAGCGTGAGAGAAGACGAATGGTGAATGGGGGAGTTCGGGATGCCGCTGTCTCTGTGCTGATTGGTTGAGCTGGCCAAACGGGCAGAGAGCGGCCTCTCTCTTCCATTAGTCCCTCCTCCTTGCCTCCGAACCACCGTGTCTGACTGGTTCGGAGAGCCCCCGTTTCCATGAAAACTGTCTGGCCCATTGGAGCGGAGCAAATCAGCAGAGGCCAGGCTGAACGTCCTGCTCAGTGACTGGTTGATCCTCTGGGTCACAGGTCGGCCAGAGGCCTGCGACTGGCTGACAGGCTGCCGAGAAGAGGGCTTAACACTTTGGCCCGGCCTCTGGTTAGATGCATGTACGGTGGGCGTGACGTAGCTGGTGGGGGTGCCCTGATCTTTACCGGTGGGACCCGAAGAGGCTGGACTTCTGGTGAAGTATTCAGTCATTAATTCCTCTCTGCTTTCTGTTGGAACCTGATTGAGAACAAAAACATTTAGGTCCACTTCGGTAAATTCCCTGTCACTGTAAAAATCTTTCCGTGTGCGTAATCATGTGTGGGGGCGGGGGGGAGTGCAATCAATCAGATCACCTCGGGTGAACACTGAGGTCAAGTGACCAAGAAAATATTAAAATGATCACTCAAGTTAAAAAGACAAAGGAAAAGCCTTTGAAGCAATGGAGATCAAGTGTTCATTCCATTCGCTCGTCTTATCAATTCGGGATTGTCAATTTATTTCGGTTTCTTGTCGGAAGACCACAAAGTTTTCTAACTAGAACGTCATAAGAATCATGACAGGTTTTATGTTTGGTGAGATATCCCTCTGATTTCAGGAAAGGTCACAAACACAAAGACTGGAATTTACCAGTTGATTTGCAGGCAAGATTTGGCTTCAGAAGAGATTAGAGGTGTGGGGAAGTACCATCATAAAACTAGAGCATGACAGCAAATTAAGTTTGCTCAGCTGAAAACCATACATCTTGGCAGCTGTGAAACTGAATTCTCAAAAAGGATGACAGCAAGCAGTATATACATCAGTTTGTATTATTCAACCTGACGTCGAGTGGAAAAAACGGTTTTCTTGGCTGTTTTTGTTGTACAGAGGAACGGACCATGACTTTAAACTAAAGCGTAAAATACATTACAATGTTTGTTTTGTTTTTTTCTAGTTAGTTGCCGCATGTGACATGAAGAGCAGAATTATGACCCAGACGCAGACAGGACACGCAGGTGGAAAAGTAAGTGTCTTTAAATTCAAAAATACAAAGTAGCAACGGAGACCAAGGGTGGGGGGGGGGGAATAGGGAAACATCCAAAACAGGCTGGATAGGGGCTCCTGAGGACGCGACTTGGAGACCCCTGATGGAGAGCTCTGATGGAGAGCAATGGAGTCAGAGCTGTACCAGGTAAGCCAATATTTGCCACCCGCACCAGTGGAGAAAATTAATCAGGAAATTAACTCATAAATGTATGTAAAAACTCACAAATGTATTAAAACAAATGTTTTTTTTTCCTTTCTGCTTGGCTCTTGATGGAGGCAGATGCTTCTGCTCCTCTCCTCTTCTATCCTCCCTGCTTTCTTGTCTCATGTGGTCTTGTGTTTTAACTACGACTCCCGGCGCATTTCTTGCGACAATCTAACAGTGGATTTGGGCATCTGGTCTCTCGACACAATTGTCAAGACTTTCTTGACGAGAGAAGCTGGTAGAGGGGAGCCGGCTTGCCCCGCGTGGACGGCGGCAGCTCAATATACTGTATATTGGTTTCCTGGAATATATGAAGGATGGTGTGTCTATTTATTCCGTCCAACGTTATTGAAATTCTGCGAACAGGTATCCTTCTGTTTGGGGTTGACAGTTCCTGTTTAATTGTAAAAAGTTAGTGGACGGGAGCCGCTTTCGTGGAGGCGAACAAGCTGCAGCCTGGACGGTGTGGGACAAGCAGTCAACACTCGAAACCAGGCAACAAGTGAACAGGGGGTGACACTTTTTTGACTTCCCACTTTTCCATATGTGCATCTCCTTGAGGTTTTTCTCCTGGTTCAAACTATAGTCTTTTTTTCCCTTCCCCTTCCCTATCATTTCCTTTCACAATTAAGAACTCAGGACACTTAACAGTGAACTGCCGGGCTTCCCATACTGTCTCCCTCTGTTGGTCATTGTTATTGTTTCTTTGGAAAGACAAGTTTTTACACACTTGGTCAATAAATCTGATTCTGATTAAGAGGATTCAACCCATAAATGACAGTCCGGGAGAGCAGTGGCCACCAGTTATGCCAGCATCCGCTCATGAACGCCGCAAACACAAAACACAGCAATGATATGTTTCAAGAATATATCTCTGACAGTGTCAATCAAAAGCAATCATGATGCTCTTTGACAAATGTTTAACAACTATGTAGCGAAACGAGGCTACCAAAATATTTAAATTCGCAGTACGACACAGTGTAATTGAAAACCAATTGAACCTACAGCCACAATCACAGCTCAACCACTTTCTATAAGCCTTACCAGTAGGCTGATTATGAGTCAGTCCCAGGGATGACACAAGCCAACCATTCCTACCTTCAGTGAACCGAACATACACAATTTGGAGTTACGTCTTCCCTCGAAGGACCGTTATGACAGTGAACCCACAAAATTATTAATTGTACACAACAAATTAATACATTATTAGTTTTGAGATCAGTCAAGTCGATTAAAATAGTTTGTTCAATTATTGTTTAAGTGAGGGTAAACAGGGTCACAAAATTATTGCAAAATGTCAACGTTATTTATTATACGTGACAATTTGACATTTTGGCACCGATCTCAGCAAGTTGACACACGTGATTTGCTTTCATGGGCCACTTAAATTGACCTGCGGGCCAGATCTGCCCCCCGGGCCTTGAGTTTGACACTTGTGTTTTGTTTTCAGAGTTTTGGATTGTTTTCATGAGTGAGTGAACACACACAAGCAAAGAGATCTGCTCGAGCTGACACAGAATAAAATCCAGATAATTCTTCTTGTGAGGTGACAGCACTAAACTGTGCTATAACCACAAAAAACTGTATTATTCATTAAAACCTCCCCACCAGTGTCCATCAAAACTACACTGAAAAAAGACAGAACAGTCACTCTGAAATACAGAATTTAAAAGGGAAGTCAACAAAAAAATTGTCACTACAATAACGGGGCTGCCATGAGTTATTTGTTCTCACACTGCAAGGTAGACATGTGCTACAGGTTCAAAGCTACATTACATTTCTCACAACTTGTGCTGTGGTGTATATACGCGTTTTGAAAACAGAGGACAATATTTCTGTTTGTTTAGTACAGGCAGTATGCAACACAATGACAAGCAACATTGACAAATATATTTCTCACCGTTTGTGGTGACTTCAGGTTGCTCTCTTGCAGAAACTCCTCCAGTGACACCATCTCACTTCCGGGAGATGAAGGGCGAGCCCGATTCCTAATGCCGCCTCCACGCTGTGGTTGGGCCCGCTGGGGTGCTTGATCGTATGGGAGGGTTGCGCTGCGTGACATGATCTGCTGTGATTGGCTGAGACCCCTGACATCATCGCTGGATAGGCTCGCTGACCGGGGGTGACAATCGGATGCATCTAGGATAAAAAACGTTTTGGAATAATCTTGCACATCAGTCACGTTCAAAACAACCACCTCAATGATGGAATGATTTACACAGCACAGTCCCTTGCTAGTTGCTAGTCAAGGTCCGAATTGTTCAGGTTTTCAAACAAACTTCCCACAATAAATTACAGTCAAGTGTAAAAACATAAAACAATACCGTCTTGGAATTTTCTCTTAGGTTTAATTAACAACAACTTTGTGAAACGTCGTGCCGAGGTAAAAAGATGTTATCCACCTAAAAAGGTAAAAACACTAACTTAATAACTTAATGGCTGGCCAGTCAATTTTCTGCTTGCTATTGTTAGCAGCTAACACACTAACTTGTGCAAAAAAAGCCACAAAAATATAAAACAACAAAACAAAACACATGAGGTGTTAATCCTTTGCTTCCCCTTCCTTCTGCAAGATATGACTTTCATATTAGAGGATTCAGAAAATGTTGCCGAATTCCCGAACCCGGGGGAATTAGAATAAAGACGTTCCACTGTCGTACTGTATTGTTGGCCTAATTAGAGTTGACTCGATTCAACTGTCAGTACCTTTGCAGTTGACCGGTGAGTTTGAGCTGGACGTATGGTGACTAAAGTCAGCTGATCCTGGACGACATCCCATGTGACCACGTGGACCAAATCCGGTCTCAGTGTCTTCGTCGAAGAGCACACCTACAAAAACATTGTTTCATCTCCGGCTCCGCTTGTGTTCAGGTCTGCTGTTAAGTGGCCCTTGTGTCTTACCTCTGGGCCTGCAGCTACTGAGGGCAAGTGAAGATGATTGATGGCTTGGGGTGGAACTCAGAGCTTTGTGGGTCTGTGCGAGGCCTGAAAAACACATACGCGCGCCCACGCACGCACGCATGCACATACACACAGGGTTACGGTTACTCTGGGGAAAAAAAATAATCCATTCAGCCATCCATTTTCCATAAACTGATGATCACGAGGATCACGGGTATGCTGGAGCCTATCCGGGCTGACTTCGGGGTTGCCAGCCATTCAAAGGAAGAAACAAATACCGCATTTTCCGCACTATAACGCGCACCTAAAAGCATACAATTTCCTCAAAAGCCTACTATACAAGGCGCATCGCTTTATAATCCGATGCGCCTTGTATATGGATCGGCATTCTGATTTCTTGGACATAGTATTTTAAATGTTCTATAAAGCATTTTGTTACAGCTGCAGTGGTTGTGAAAGCGCTACATGAATAAAGTGGTATTGTATTGTATTCCTTTAGCATATACAATTTCCTCAAAAGCCTACTATACAAGGCGCATCGGATTATAAAGCGATGCGCCTTGTATAGTAGGCTTTTGAGGAAATTGTATATGCTAAAGGAATACAATACAATACCACTTTATTCATGTAGCGCTTTCACAACCACTGCGGCTGTAACAAAATGCTTTATAGAACATTTAAAATACTATGTCCAAGAAATCAGAATGCCGATCCATACACAAGGCGCATCGGATTATAAAGCGATGCGCCTTGTATATGGATCGGCATTCTGATTTCTTGGACATAGTATTTTAAATGTTCTATAAAGCATTTTGTTACAGCTGCAGTGGTTGTGAAAGCGCTACATGAATAAAGTGGTATTGTATTGTATTGTATTCTCTTTAGCGTAGCCCCATCTAGTGGACGCATAGCACAAACGCAGCCACTATTGTAGCTTCTACTCTATGCACTTTATAATGAATGCGTTGTGCCATATATGAAAACAGTTTTAAAATAGGCCATTCATTGAAGGTGCAGCTTATACCCTGCAGCGCGTTATCGTGTGGAAATTCCAGTAATGAGGACATTTTTTCTCACTGCACTGGACCCTAAGAAATCTTTAACTGTTTAAATTCAGCTTTCAAGCTCTTTTTCAGGAAAGAGAAACTTAATCCCTGCCTTATGATTGGCTGGCAACCAGTTCAGGGTGTACGCTGCCTGCTGCCCGAAGACAGCTGGGATGGGGTTCAACACACCCGCGACCCTCGTGAGGATAAGCGGCTCGGATAGTGGTATGTTTTGAATCTTTATTCATTCATGTTATTTACTCTGATCATAAAAGATACCAGCAAATCGGGGGACCATATTTTACACCAGTACAAAGAAAAAAAAAAAAAGCTTTTTAAGGGTGATTTTTGTTAATACGCTTTGTTACAACAATGAAATAATTTTGTCACTTTTTGTGCAATGTTTAAAAATCACCTTGTCCGTCTTCTCCAGTGACACTCTCACTGCTACCTCCTGGTGTGCTGCAATGATATACCCCTCGTCCTCCTACGGACCAATGACAGGACAAATAAGACCATCTCAGTTCATTTAGATGAAGAGGTGTGATGATAAATAGGATGGAAGCAAACATGAAGCAGCAGAGCTTGGCAAGAGTGCAAGGATAGGTGTGTGACTGTGTACATGGTTAGTTCAAGCAGAGCATTGAGAAATCCACACAATGATTTTGGCTGGTCTTGACTATTGTATGATGAATTTAATTCTTTTTGGGCATAATAAGAATTTTATGTTGTCTAATAATTGTTATGGTACAAGGCTGCACTGTATCTGCAAATGATGCAGACAGTTCCACAGTTCTCTGTGTGTAGTAGGGTATATCCCCCCCCCCCCCGAAAATGATACAAGTTAATATAAGGCTGGACACATTTTATGATTATTTAACAGATGAAGCTAAATTTGACGCTCACAGTCATTTGGATTAAATGTATTACTAAAATCCTGTTAACTTTTGAAAAAAAATTCTATCTAGACATGGGACACTGGTTTGGAATTGCACAAGAAGACTGAGTGGAGGCCAAAACTATTCACACAGTGGCCAAACTTTGAGTGAGAATGTTTGAGTTGGTACTGCCATGAGAAAAGGGCAAAATACTGCTAAGTGGGAATAAAATTGGTATTTCTGACACCTTTTTGGAAGGTAATGTCAAGCCAGAAGACATCAATCCAAATTAAATTGATGGCAAAGATTATATAATCCTGAAGAAGTTACCGTATTTTCTGCAGTATAAGGCGCACCTAAAAGCATTCAATTTTCTCAAAAGCCGAAAGTGCGCTTTATAATCCAATGTGCCTTATAGATGGTGTTGATCTCTTTATATTCCCCATTGAGTTGTTTCCCTGTTAGTGTTCCGATGCCATCAAGTGATGCACCAATTGTTACGTAAGACGGTTCTGTTCAACACGAACTGACGTGCATTCGCCAACACACACTCAAACAGACAACTACTTTGTGAACTCTGTGCAGCCATTATGAAACAAAGATAATCCAAAAGCAGAGTCAACTACTGACTAAATAAAGGAGGAGGGAGACAAGCAAGACTTCTAAGGATATTTAGCCCCTTGTGAATGTGAGCCCACAAGGTTTTTGCCTTTTTGTCGAATCAATTGTCTTCCTAACCTTTGTCTTTCATTTATTGTTTTGTAATGCCATTTGTATTTATGCCAAGGAATAAACTCTGTATTTTTATGGACTTTGTGTGGTGCTTCATGCTACATCCTGAGGGAGCTATGTATGGGTCAATATTCAGATTTCTTGGACGCAGTATTTTAAATGTTCTGTAAAGTGCTTTCTAACAGCCGCAGTGGTTGTAAGGCTCTATATAAATAAAGCTGAACTGTATTGTATTGTATTCCTTTAGCATAGCTCTATCTAGTGGATCCATAATGCAACTGCAGCCACTATTGTAGCTTCGATTCTATGCACCTTATAATGCAGTGCGCACTATATATGAACAGTTTTAAAATAGGCCATTCATTGAAGGTGTGCCTTGGAGTCTGGAGCGCCTTATAGTGCGGGAAGTATGATATTTTTACCAAGCAGATGCTTTGAAGAAAGAATAATGCCTAACGACTACTGCAAAAATGATGAGAAGCTTGCCAACAAATGGCACATTTACTTGTACTTCAAACGTGTATCCCCCCCCCCCCATTTCAAAAATGACCATCAATGCCATAACCAATTATTTTCAGCATCGCCTACTGTGACACTGAAAAAAATGAAGTGGTAAAGCATTGTTGGTCAGGTGGGCAAAGAGTCTATTCCATCTGATAACGACCACTCCTGGACATACCCGCTCTCGCCCGGTCAATCACAAGTGCTCATACAGATGAGCAAACTTTCAAACTCACATTTGTAACTATTGATATTTAATAATCTTCTCCAATTAATCTAACACGGACATTTTGTGAATTTAGGAAAAAAAGACGAAGCAACGTAACTAACTTCCAAAATTTCAAAAGAACTGAAAAATTCATTGAATGTATCTTTTTTTTTTTTTTTTTTTTTTAAGACAAAAACTCTGTCTAAAACTGATGCATTATTGTTAAAACCAAAAGGTGCAGAGAGTTCCCATGGTTACCAGAATCTCTTGGAAAGTGAACTGAAATTTTAAATAAATTAATAGTTTTAAAATGATCTCGTACCGGCCGTCGGAAAGAAAAAAAACATAAGCAGAATATCGGTGTTGATAACCAGTCTGATGAACATCGCTGCAGATACAGACAGTGATGATATTTGTGACACCATGACTTCAACAACATAAATAAAAGAATAGATATGTTTTTCCACACAGTTCTTGAAGCCGGCGGCCATCTTCGAGGTTATCTGAGGCTAAAGCCACTGGCTCACACGTTGGTGTCTGTTCACAGCTAACAGACAAGACCAGTTTAGCAAAGAGCTGACAGGTAATAAGTTAGCAGGTGCTGGTTGCTGCGGTAACATTTCTTGGGCTGATTGCATTCAAGACAAACGACTGCAGCAAGGCATTGTGAAGCAACCGCATTTATAAACGGTGGCCTGATCCAATGTGACTCGGATGAGAAGTGATCTTATTACCAACCGTTGCTCCTCATTTCAGAGCGCACTCTGAAAAGGGAACACACTGCGGGTCTACGTAGTCAAATGCAAATAAATAATATTCATACACATAGAAATCAATTTTAACGACGGGGGCGTGCGGGCAAGCTTGCTGTGCTGTGGAAACAGTGACACACACACACGCACGCACGCACGTACACACGCACACACACACGCACACAAAAACTTACTAGTATTACTGGCTGCCCATATCTGCAACAGGCAACTCTTTTGTGGATGCTTTATGTGATCATTTGTATTCTCGAGGAACACCCCATGCCAGTCGGTGTTCATAAAATATGTATGCATGCTGTAAGTCTTCATGGGAAACGCTGAAAGTCAGTGATGACCGATGATGGTGATGATGATGATTACGGTTTAAAAAGATGAAGAGGAAGATGAGGGTATTAGAACACTCCATTGGCAGAGACGGACTGGCTAGTGATGACGTCTGCTGTGATGTCAGTGGACGACCAGAATCGGAGTCGTCTGCTGAGAGAGAGGGAGGGCCGTGAGGAAGGGTCGGAGGTGGGGGAAGGGGACGGAAGAAGTTTATCTTGGCTTTTACTGCGGAAAAAACAGAAGCGTTTTGGGACAGGAGGAGCTGAGGGGTAGAAAAATGGAGAAAGAGGGAGAGAGAGATGGAGACAAGACAAGGAAAAAAATTATAAAACAATAGTGAGTACATGAAAAAAAAGATTAGAAGATAGAATTTGTGATGAATGTTAAAACTTCATGAGATGGCATTCAAGTTAAACTTATGAGACTGACACAAGAAAGCAGTCATGTTTAAAGGTGGTGTGTTGTGGAAATTTGAGTTTGAATTGCTTGTATACAAACAACTGGGGTCTCTGAAATGCCAGACCACCTATCAAGTGTAAAAGTACAACAAGCACATAAATTGTTCATGTTCGGCACGGGGGTAGTTGTTTTTGTCCACTGCATGCACCACATGCAGGGATCATTTGCATTAATGACAGTGAGAATGAAAACAATGTTTTTATTTCATGTTTTTACTCTTATCTGGAGGCTCACTTTTCTGGCCTGGCCTAATCGCAAGGCCCTACCTCCGGCGCCGTTCATCATGGTAGTGACAGCTGTATTCAACTTTGCACAGGCGCTAGACAAGCAGTGATTCCAACCAGAGAATTTAATTTTTTTTTTTTAATCCTAGACCATGTAAAATACATTTTATTCAGTAAAAACATGTAACAAAAATAGTCGGCTTTCAATTAAATCATGCAGACGCCACTGAGAGATTCATCATGGTGTCATGCATAAGAAAAATTAAACACCTGCTGAATACAGCACTTCTAAGTGAACAAACAAGTGTAAAAAAAAAAAAGTAAAAGAATACGATGGACAGATTACGTATGTACACAATAGAAACAGACCTGGCAAGGCTGCCCCTCTGTTCGAGGCCTCGGCAATGAATCAAAATGTAATTGTCATTTCTCGCAGTTAAAGTAAATAAATCCATAAATACTAGAATAATACTCCTGTGTTGCTTGCAGCAAGCGTGAAGTTATCTTCTGCCCTCCCTGAATGTGTTTCAGGATGTCATTTGACAAACCAGTTGGGGGTTTTCAGTACCTCCATTCTTCTTAATCCGCGAAAGACGAGTTACATGAATCAAGTTCAAACATGACCTTCTTCTTGTATTCTTTTCATCATCATTAAAGTTACTACAGCTAAAAGAAATCATAGCACTGCAAACAACAAAAAACAATTCAGAGCCAAAACTAAATACATCTTCCACCAGGAAATATTTTAAAATGATTCTTCTTTCTTCTTTAGTGTCGTAATATTTGTACATTTTTGGTCAGCACAATTCTGAGATGTATCGAAAAAAATATTTTGGTGTATGTATGTTTGTACATGTATTTCAGTATTAGTGTGTACTAGGCAGGGATGTGTCCAAGGACCGGCAACCCGAGGCCAAGGCCAAGGCCAAGGACTTGCCTCCGAGGCCAAGGCCAAGGCCAAGGACTTG